ACGATGAATCAAACTCAATCAATGTTCTTGGCTCCAAATCGAGCCTTTCTGCGGGTGCGCTTCACTTTGATCTCATTCTGCAAGAGATAATTTGGAAAAAATTCGTCGACTGTCACTTGAAGGAGCTTTTGAAACTCAGCCCGAAGATAAATTGGTCCAACTCTTCGATTAATCGTATTACTGGCGAGGCTTTTAAATGCCTCAACGATACCGCGATGAATTATCTTTTTGGATTGTTTGGTGTAATTAATGAAAAGGCTGTTGAAGCTAAGGAGATTTTATCTTCAATTTCCAGGGCTAGCATTGAAGTATTTTCACCTCTTCCAGGTATAGAGACATTTTCGGCCACAATTTCGAAAGAAGAATTTGTGTCAAAGATGGGCTCTATTTTGTACAAAACTACACAGCCAATTGAGCATCTTCTGAGGTCTTTTACAAAAACGGAGAATGTTGATACCGTTTTCTTGATTGGTGGCGGAACCAGAATGTCTTTTGTTGTCGATAGCATTCGCAAAACATTGAAATCGTTAAATATCAAGGGAAAGCTCATTTCAAGAAATAACGAGGAAGCCAGCATTCTTGGCTCCTGTGAAAAGGCAAAAGAGTATCTTTATAAGTACAAGCAAAAGAAAAACTTTCGGCATTCTACCTCTGTTTGGCCATTTTCCTTTTTTTACACAATTGGAAACACCACCGATGACGGGTTCGAGTCACCAACAAAAGAGTATTTTCCGCTTCTATCTGCTGACGATTTGGCCATTGAAAAGTCTTTGTCAATTAAGGAGAGCATTTCTGATTTTACTGTAAAGTTTTATGTTTCCAACGAAGGGTAGCTTATTTCTTCGTTTTACGTTTAGAAAATATGTGCAGTGGTCGGCGCTTTATTCATCCGGAGTCACAGACCGTTTGATTGATGCTGCCGACGGCATCCCTTTAGACATCGAAATTTCGTTTGATCGGCTTTTTTCGGGTCTTTTGGAGCCCTCAAAGGTGATTGGGCGTTATCCTAACAAGACCGAAATGGATATTTCCTACAACTATGTTGAGCTATTCCCACCATTTTCGAAAGATCTGATTCGCAAAATTGAAGAAAAAGACGACACATTTTTCCATTATGCGCAAGCATCAAAGGATGTAATATCGCACACTTCAAACAGTCTCTCCGCTTTAGCTTTTGACATCAAGAGACTTTTTCTGGAGGACTTGACACCGAAAAGTATGTTTTGCAATTTTTTCCCATAGATCTGCTTGTATTTTTATCTCCAGACTCCAGACAACTTCTCAAAATGCGACTCAATAAGGTGCTTGCCGATATTGATTCTGATGATGAAATCTCGCTTCTGGAGACGCTGACTGACAGGAAAATTTTGAAAGAAATCCTTCAGCAAGGTATTCCCCGCAAGGAGCTTTACGAAAGGCTGCAATCGGCCATCTGTAAGGGAGAAACTTCTGCTGTAACTGAACAACATCAAGGAGGCCACATTGGTGCCGATGTTTACGCATACGAAACCGCGGATGGGAATGTATGCAAAAGAAGCAACTTGGCTGCTGATGTCCTTCACGGGACTCGCTATGATTCTCCGAATGTTTGCGACCTGTGGGTTCTGTTTGATGTTGAAAATTCTGCAGAAATTTATTCCTTTATTGCAAAAATAACAACTCCATCCCGTGCAAAGATAACAGCTTCACCGGCAGCCAAAAATGACGTCCGTATTCCTAAAGCAGAAGATCATACACACCCTATCTATCAGCAGCTTGAGCGCTCTCAAAAACTTTACGAGCAGGCTGTAGACGAGCCGACCCTAAAGTTTATCACAAGTGGGCTCTCGATAGAGTATGTGCTCACCACAAATACAGATCCATTTGCATCAACCATCGAACGATCCTTGCCACAGAGCTTTTGGAATGGTGATTTTCTGGACTGGAAAGCCCAAAGAGCCCAAAAGTCCCGCCAACGTGACTTATAGTGCTAGCATATCCACGGTATACTATATACCGATTGGTCAGTGGGGACGATTCATCTTGTTGCCCTCAATTGGGGTATTTAATAAATTGACAATTTGCATTTTAATTTCAATGGACCCAGAGAGGTAGCCCATCGCATCGACCATTTGAGTCACCCTTATGCCTTGATTTCGCTTGTTGCCTTCATTATATTTTGTCTTATTGTTCTTAGGATGATCGAGGGCCTTCTCAATGACCAGTTGCCCACAGAGGATGAGGTGCGGCATATGTGCTATGCGGCACGGGATATCCTCATTGATGAGGGTAACATACAATCAATTCCTGCGCCAGTGACCGTCTGTGGAGACATCCATGGTCAGTTTTCAGACCTCAAAGAATTATTCAAAATTGGAGGATATCCTCCTACGACGCGCTACCTATTCTTGGGCGACTTTGTAGACCGGGGCCACAACTCTATCGAGACGCTGCTACTGCTGGTGGCATATAAGGTATCGCCGTCCTTTAATGATCGTTAAGGTATATTTTCGTCCTCATTATCAGCTGCGATACCCGAATCACGTTACACTGGTACGGGGCAACCACGAGTCGCGGCAAATCACACAGATTTACGGCTTCTATGACGAATGCATCCGCAAATACGGCTCGCCGATGGTTTGGCGTCTTTGCTGTGATTTATTTGACTATATGAGCCTTGGAGCGCTCATCGAACAATCGTATCTAGGTGTTCATGGCGGGCTCTCCCCATCCATTTCCTCTCTGGACGAGGTAACACATCCTGATCGCCAATTGCTAGATAAGGATGCTGGACCGGCGGCAGGAGATCCCGCACGATGGCCCCATGTGCGATCTTCTTTGGTCAGATCCAGAAGACAGTGTTTCGGAATGGACATTATCGCCTCGTGGAGCGGGATACCTTTTTGGTGAAGATGTGGCCGTCAAATTTTTCCACGAAAACTCGCTTGATGGCATGGCACGAGCACACCAGCTCGTCATGGAGGGCTATAAATGCCAGTTTGGCGGCACAGTGACCACAGTCTGGAGCGCACCGAACTACTGTTATCGGTTACCCTCAACACCCCTCATTTTAGATGCGGGAATGTGGCTGCAATTATGGAGATATCTGAGACAATGGAGCGCACCTTCAAGATATTTAATGCTGCGGCTGCGGTAGGTAGCCATACTCATCCTTTTAGGATCCACGAAATCCTCCTGTCCGGCGACCATCTCTCGAATACTTCTTATGAGCCTAACACCGCCAGCGGTGCGTTCACTAATAAACGATGGACGGTTGTATCAGGCGCTACATGCATGGTGTCGTTAAATGCTGTGGCACGTGTGAAATGAGTGAAAGCAATAGTGATCCCTGTGCAATGGATGCTATAAGATTCGCATGCCATACCATGCCACACCACACCATGCATCATCTCAAAGACAAAGGCAAGCGGCACCTGTGAGCACGGCAAGGACATACCTATGGATGAGTACGCATGCGAACCAGGTGGCCATGTATTGCAAATGGGGGACTATCCGCGCTGGCTCGGTAGAGTTTGGAACCATCAGAGGCGAGCTCTCGTCGCTGTCAATGACCTTGAAAAGAAACGGCTGTTCGCTGGCCAAACCAAGAGCGTCGCCTAACTCTTTTTTCTGGCTGTAAAAGAAAAAGATGTCGGTTTTCTTTTGAACGGGTCCATACCATTCTGGGAGAACCTATGATCATATTAGTAGCATTAGCGGACTACCTTTTCGTCTTTTTCGGTCACTATAGCGAGCAGGGATCTCAACTTGCCATCATTTAACCCAAGTCTTGATGCCAAATCTGTGCCGTACTTTGAGGAATGAAAAGAACCGTCGGTGGCAACAGTTTCGGTAAGAAAAAGCTCCCGGGATACCCAACCAAGATTGAGGAGAATCGGGGAAGCGTCAAAAGAAAGCCTGAATGGCTTAATAATGTGGTAGCCCAATCCGGGATTGGTGGACTCCTGCGGGGATATTCTTGGGCCCAAGAAGGCTATGTCATAATAACCTGGAACGGGAGTTAGGGCAAAATACCCGTGTAAAATAACAGGTTCTCCCTCCGTGAGTCCCTGAAGTTTAGATTTCCGATCAACAAGAACAGGATCACAATCTGTTGCCAAAGCTCTGTTCAGCCGATCGTATTTTTCTTTCTTTTCGTAATGCCTGCATAATTGCCATGTTCCAAGGATTGCAAATGTAACCGGAAGCACGAACAGCAGACGATCACGACGAGCCATGGCAAAAGGTAAAAAAATTTGAAAAGCAAATTTGCAATACAGACCTTGAGCGAGACCACCACAATATGGCAGCGGGGCGGCCCCAGCCGGCAACGCCATTTCTTAATCAAATACCACGACAATTCAAGTAAGAAGATTTATTGCATTCATCAAATTCGGAACGTTTAAAGTTCGATCTGCTTGCGAGCAGCAGTGGGTTCGCGCTTTGGGAAGACAATCTTTAAAACCCCATCCTCGAAGCTCGCCTTTCCAGAATCCAAGTTGCAATTTTCGGGCACAGTGAACGAGCGTTTGTAGAGCCCATAAGAACGCTCTGTTACGATGGAATTTTCTTGCTCCTCGCGCTTATCGCTCTTCTTTTCAGCCTCAAGGTACAATGTGGAGCCCTCATGGGTGATCTTGACGGAATCCTTCGGAATACCTGGCAATTCGGAGGTCATTTCAAAGTGATCCGGAAACTCCAAAAAGTCCGTGCGAATGCGACCAACAGACGAGCGGATAAGAGGAAAGTCCGCAGAAAACGCGGATGGAACCAGCGAGCGAGAAGGGCCTGCCGTCTGCGATCCTTGCGTCAATGCTGGGCGATAAATCGAGGATGTTGGCCACCAAGTTTCGAGATCGTCAAAGAATGTGTTGAAGAATCGGTCAAATGGATTCATGTGGGTAACGTAAGTGGTGCCCGCTATTTATATTATGCAAAGGAAAGTTCACGTAACTTCCTTAATTTTCCAGAATTCAATTACAATTGGTGCTTCGAGAAATTTCTACAAATGACTGATAGGGCCATCGGCAGAGTTAATTTAGATGCCACAATGAAATTTTGAGTGGTGCCACCAAATTGCGCCAATTTTTTATTCGGAATTTGTTACTAGACCACACCGTGAAAAAGAGCATTTGCACAATGCCCAGCCATTACAACACATGATTCTGTCATCGACGGAAGGAGCGTACATGAAAGACCATCAACTTTGCCAGTAATCAAAACTTTAATAAATCAAATGTTCTATGCAAAAGTAGAAAGAAATGCCCTCGCTTGTTGGGCACCTTTTCGCAGGAGAATAGCTCCAATGGAAGCATATATGGTTTCCTCGGCAACAACTTTTGCAATTCCTGTTTTTGTCTATCAAAATAAAGACCAATAATCGTACAATATCCCATCGGGCAACCGCTGGAATGTCAAGAAAAGAGATGCACTTTTGCATCGATATATTTCCTTGGTTTTGAACTAAAAGATCTTTGATGGAAATCTTGGCCGGATCCTTCAAAGTTTCTACATACTTGGCAGCAGGCAAAGTTTCAAAAAATGCTCGGCCTAAAATTATGTCAATAACTGAAACCTAGCAGCACTAATTTATCGTTGCAGGGTACCGTACCATCCCTGTAGGTTTTGTGCGTTAACGTCTGGATAATGAAATGTGGACTCACAATTGACCCATCGGTTGGATTACATGAAAAAGACGAATCATCGACTGAAAATCCAAGCCGTTTAGCAAAAAGAGACTCTTCAGAGCTGAGCTTTAAAAGCACATTGGGTGCTGCTGCATTGATTTCAGAGTGCTGTCTGAAAGCCGTTGAAAGGAAAAGCCGAGAGGTTTTCAGCATCCACTTGTTTCGGGGGAAAAATAAATTCTTTGCAATAAAATTAACTTTTACACCTGCCTTTTGGGGATGAAAGTTGGCCCTTCCGAAATAAGACAACAATTGCAATTGGAAATTTCCAATTTGCAGCTTGTTGAGGCCACAGAGCATCAGGGTGTCTTGCTTTCCATTTTTTCTGTGGTCGAGATCAGGGACTCTGGCATCATGGTCGAGGCAAGGGATATCATTTCCCCTTTTCTGGTGAAGCAAGTATTTCTTTCAAACTCATTTTCAAAATATCTCTCCCGTCCATGCTGCCCCAACACTGCATCCATTGTTAGTTGCATCGAATCTTCTTCAGAAGTGCTGATTTGCTTACTCGATATTATTGAGCTTTCGGATTTTATTATTTGCAATGTTTGGAGGCCGGGCTATCTCAACTGAAGCAATAGATTGGCGCAAAGTTTTGATTCAGAAATGTCTAAAGCATATGCCTCCCTTTTCATTGAGCTTGGAGATGATAGTATTCTGCAGATTTCCCATGACTTTGCATCGAAGGCCTCGCCCTGTAGCGGATACAGTGGATCTATCGGCGTGTCATCGGCCATAAATTTGCGTTTTAAATTTTATGAGGACAATATTTTACATATAGCGGGCCCTTGGTGGACACCCGAAAAGGTGGCGCATCACATCTGTTTTGCCTCGAACCTCAACCCCAAAAAATACAAAATGTCTCTCCAAAAGAGCTCTTTTGTGTGCAATCAATATTGCAGAGACCGCTTGCAGGAAATAAATTTTTTTGGAGTCTCTGCAATAACGATATTGTGATCATCGTCCAAATTTAATGCCATTGGTGTGAAAGTATTTGGGCACTCCTTTGTCGGTGTTTCGTGCACCAAAATCCCGGTATTGATAGGTTGGGATGAACTTCCACAAGCGCTTTCAACGGTCCCAGGAGTTAACACTTCTATTGACGTAAGGGAAGAATGGGTTTGTAGAAAATGCCTGCTAGCGGCACCAAGTCCGGTAAAGAAAGACTGTGAAGACGTGCTTTGTATATCTGCAGAAGAACCTGCCGGTGTATTCTCGCTATTCAAAGCGACTGTTGTCATAATTTCGGGCTCAGAAATATCCTCTGGACTCTGGAAAATCTCCGATATAGCTTCTTTTATTTGGGATAATTGGTCAGAGCTCCATCCACGTGGGCCATCATGTCCTGGAGCAAAATTTAAAGCTTTTTGTAGCAATTCAATGTCTTTTTCCATAGATGGACATGAATCTTCACACATGATGGCTCCCGATATTAGAAATGAGATCGTCAGATCTTCCAATAATGAATACAAATCTTTGTATCCCAAAAAAATGCGGCATCCTAACGGACTAACAATGAACAAGATCCGGAGAAGAGGATCAGATCTGATTGCCTTTTTTGTGCGAAAATAGGTGGCAAGGGCATGAATTGATTCAAACAGCCCTTCGCTAAGATGTGGCGCCAATCTATGATGCTTTGTGTGGGCGTTTTCGATAACATCGAGCAACAATGATCTGCAATCCGAGGAAAGGCAAAAAAACTCGAGAAGAAGACCATCATTGCAGGCATCAAGCGTCAAATTTAAGCTCTGTATGATCAGCTCGTCAGAAGCGGCGCTAAATAAGAAATAAAAATACGTGAAAAGAACAAAATTTTCAAAAGAGTGCGGCTTCAGGCCTGGGATGGAAACAAAAAGGCTTCTGAGATCTGCAAGCTCAGCAAACACATCATTTGCCGAAATAATGTCTTCAATGTTCTGAAGAGGATCGGAATTTCGCACTGCTGCATCAGAATGGGCAAGGAAAGCAGCCCGTTTTCGATTCTCAAGATGCTTAATTATCTTTTTGAGATGGTGCGGACTGGGCTGAAACCCCATCCCAAATAGATGGGAAATGTTTGCAGTCAAGGAGGAAAATGAAGATCGGCTAATGAAGGGCTTGAACGCTTCAATCTGCAATGGCGTATTGTGGTCCGTAACAATGGCTAGCTTTACCTGATTAGAGGAGAATGCTGGCAGCAGATCGGAAAAGAGGACCAAATCAATGGAGTTAAAGCAATCGGAAAACAGGAGTATTATTTTGAGGCTAGAATCTGACGAGGAGTGGCTCCATGGATAGTCCGAAAATGCGTGAAGCAAATAGAGCTTTACAATGTCCCAAGAATATGGAGATGGATCGTGAGATTTTGGCATCATCGATTTTATGTATGAAAAGAGTTTTCCCAACTCGGCATGTTCCGTATGAATGGGATGGAAGCATTTTGAACGATACCTCAGTATGGGCGGGGGTATTTTGAGATCGATTGCCTTTGCAATGATATTGATGAGAGCCGAATTTATGATAAACGATAGCTGCAGGATGATAGATTGGATGATCTGCACAAAAAGACCCATGTCAAAGAGGACATGCTGGGCGCACGAGATATCAAAGAGAAACAAAATCTGTGCAATCGGCGACTCGGATAATTTCATTAAAATTCAAAATGTGTGCAACCCGACACGGGTAGGCTCATTAAAATTCAAAATGTGTGCAATCCGAGACGGGTGGGCTCATTAAAATTACAACAATTAGCTCGTTTGGGCCAAACTGAAATCAATTTCAAAATTTAGAAAAATTGCTTTTTCATGCATGCTGATAAGTGCTCTCCAAATTTTGATCACCAAGTAATGAAGGACCTGCTTGGGGCACACTTGTCGCTTCCTGTTGAGCAGCACATTTCAAAGCTGGAGGCGCGCCTATCCACGATTATTCTCGAACAAAAGGAGCTCTTTCAGGAGCCCGATGTGCTGACCGGTTTGAAATATTATCCATCAACTGATCTCAATAGCCCTGGAAGAAATCCGAACGTGCAAAACACAGCCCCACGATGGATTGGAGGCCGTTTTTTCCAAACTACAACAGGAATCAACGAGTCTCAGTGAAAACATCCGAAATATCCAGAGTGCAATTGTTGACCTTGAGCGTCAAAAGGCTCAAGTGGACGGATATGCGTTTTTGGATGAGGCCTTGGAATCTTTGATTGACGTGATCGAAAATGTTCCGAGCATTTCGTTCCCCATTGCACGTTCACGGCTTTCGGAGAGCATGAAAATCCTTGTGCAATCAAAAAAAGCCATTCATCGACTTGGGGAGTGCAGTAAGCGCCTGGATTTTATGCCCTATTAGGAAATTGGAACCCGATCCTGCATTCCATATCGGTGAGGGTGTCTGAAGAGTATTTGTCGCCTGCCATTGCAAAGATGACAACTTGCATTGAATCGTTGGAAAGGTTTTTGCTATTTGAACCGCAATTAGCGGAAGAGCCTCTTGAAGATTTCGTGTCGTGGTACCAAAATGTAACCTGTAATTGCGCTAGCATTTTGCTTTTGGAGCACAGTTTCATTCCCTTTTCTAACCAAAAGAGGTTTGTGCTTGAGATGAAAGACCAAATCGAATCTGCTTCTTTGGTCGAATTGATCACCAAGCTTTGCACATGTTGTGAAAACTCGCTTTCAAACATAAAGTTCATCCAGCTTTGGATCCAAAAGACGCTGTCCAAAGCCGGTGATGATTTTGCTGACCATGATCATGCGACGGCAGAAAAGTACGCGTCGCTTTTGATGGAGACCTCGCTTGCCTTGGATGGCAGAAAAAAGGATCTTATCCACATCATATCGTCAAAACTGGACGATGTTTTCATTGAGGAGGATAAAATCCCCTTTTTCTCTACCCTTATCGCTTACCAGCAAAAGCAATGCCAATTGTTGAAAAGCAGTTTGCTGGTCATCCAAGAGGATCACATCCCGTCCATAATACAAAAGATTTGGAGCTTTTCAGAGCTGTTCCGCAAGGTACCGCAGCATCACATATTCAATGCCTTTAGTTGGTCGTCATAATGGAAGAGCTTTCCGTCAATTCGACCGAAAGTCACCGCCGTCTGTTTTCAACATGGATTCAAAAGACATTTTCGGTGTACTTTACGCAATCCATAGCCATGATTTCAAAAACGGTCAATGAAAACTGTGGATTGGTGGAAAAGTCATTCTCATATTCGGTGCTTTTTAAAAGTAAGATCTTTGCATTGCAATTTTCCCAGGCGCAAAATATACCGTTTCAAGCGCGAGCTCTGCATCCGCAAAAATGTTTGACGTTCTTCATCAAAGATGCCCATCAATATTTTCGAAGCGTTCCGACCGCAAGCGCTTTGGGTAACCACCACTATATTTAACCACAGGCTTTGTTTTAGTCATGACATATTTGACGCGCTTAATATGAAACTGCTTGACTGTCCGTTGGTCGGCGTTCTTGGTCTCAATTGCTTTCTATTTGTTATGTATTCGTTTTCCATTGGTTGCTTCTTTCCTGAAATCGAAAGCTACTTTGTAAATTACTCGTTGCCAATTCTTTCGTGGCTATTGGTACACCGTTTGTTGTAATTTTGCGTAGAACTACATTAGCTGGGATATTCTGGGCATCCCAATATCCAATTCGCAATCGGGATCGGTGTCTTTCGATCCCGTTCGCTCATCCCTTTTATCTTCATTTTCCAGTTTTGAGGTATCCGTCAAAGATTCGATTAAACTAACCTCAAACGCATCCATTAATGGTGCTTCTGGCTGGAAGCCTGGCGATGCGATGGAACCCACGTTGGCAAAGGTGATCTTTCAGGAGGCTACCAATTGGCATTTGGTGGTGTCTTCAAAAAACGAAAATCCAGTGCTTAACATCCCAATTTTCATCATCAATGGCTGCCATATTTGCTATTTGCTTAACATCTTTATTGCGCTGGCCGTTGGGGAGTATTTCCCTCCTTCTTTCATCTTTTCCGCAAAAAGGTCCAAAGAGTCTATGTCGTTCCCAAGAATATTGCTTCCATCAACAAGTTCAATTCAAGAAGCCATCAATGCAGCATCTTCGCTTCCAGATGTGATCCTTAATGAATTGGTTTGCGTTCGCATTTTCCCTGTAAAGTCTTGGCTTCCTTCGGCCATTAAAAAGGCAAAATGGAAGCAATCGGAAGTTG